AGGAGAGATGCCGGATCTTCTTGGCCTTGCGTGACGCGGTTCGAGCCGCAAGCTGCTCATCAGTGAGCTCCTTCTTCTTCGGCGCGGTGCGCTCGATGTACGAGCGCTCCGCCACCTTCACCGACTCGCGGTCGCCCGCGGCCTTCTCGTGCTTCAGGTCGACCTCGATGGTCGCGTAGCCAGGCCTTATCAGCCTGACACACGACGCACCGAACAACCGTGCGACACCCACCGCGTCCTCCAGTTGCGCGCGATCGGAGCGATTCCAGGGTCCGCTGCGCATCCCCGGCAGTACGACGGTGGCCGGCGCTTGCGCGCCAGCCCCGTCCGCCACCGGGTCCGCGGCCGCGGTCCCTGTCATAGCTACGCGCGCCATCATGGATCGGCGGTTACACTGGTGTGTGTGCGATGGTCGCGTCCTCCGATTTCCTCAACTCACGCGGTCCATCCCTTTAGGTAGGGTACCCTAAGCCCCCGTGACAGCAATCTCTTCAACGGCAGTCTCTTAAACCCCTATCCGCTAGCCCCCCAAAACTCCTCATTTCTTAAAAAAAATCCAGAATCCATGCGCACCACCCGCTCCGCGCCTCGCTCGCCCTCGAAGTGCTCCACGTCGCCGTCGGCACTCACCGCGCGCACCTTCCGCTCCGCTCCTCGCTCGCCCTCGTAGTACTGCATGCTGCCGTCGGCAAGCACCACGCGCACCTTCCGCTCCGCACCTTTCTCGCCCTCGTAGTGCTGCACGTTGCCGTCGGGCAACTCCGTCCGCACCATCCGCGCCGCACCTCGCTCGCCCTCGTAGTGCTGCACATTGCCGTTGGCAAACTCCATGCGCACCAGCCGCTCCGCACGTTTGTCTCCCTCGAAGTACTGCACGTTGCCGTCGGGCAACTCCGCGCGCACCGACCGCTCCGCGTCTCGCTCGCCCTCGTAGTGCTCCATGGTGCCGTCGGGCAACTCCGTCCGCGCGACCCGCTCCGCACCTCGCTCGCCCTCGTAGTACTGCATGCTGCCGTTGGCAAACTCAACGCGCACCATCCGCTCCGCGCCTCCCTCGCCCTCGTAGTACAGAACGTTGCCGTTGGCAGACTCCATGCGCACCAGCCGCTCCGCACCTTGCTCGCCCTCGTAGTACTGCACGTTGCCGTCGGGCATCTCCCCGCGCACAATCCGCTCCGCGCCTCGCTCACCCTCGTAGAAGGCCACCTCACCGCTGGCAAACTCCATGCGCACCATCCGCTCTGCGCCTCGCTCGCCCTCGAAGTGCCGCACCAGGCCGCTCTTCAAAAATCGCAGATCAGCGCCCCGCTCTTCGCCGCGTCGCAGCGCCCACGTCTCGGCGCGTTGCTCGTCAGCGCCTTCTACCGTTGCCGAGAGGCAGAGCGCCGGGCTCACCCTCGCAAGCCACGGGAAGTGGTCGGCGGTGGCGCGGCGGTCGGCGGCGTAGGCGCGAAGGGTGGCCTCGCAGAGCGTCGGCCGTATGATGGGCGACCCGACGAACGAGCCGGCAATCAAGCGCTCGATGAGCAGCAGCCGCATCGCCACGGCGAAGAGAGGGTCCTTGAAGCGCGCCAGGCCGCTGCGCAGGGCGAGGAGGCCGAGGCGCGGCGACGCGAGGCTGAAGGCGGCGCAGTCGGAGAAGTCGTCGACGCCCTCGAGGATGCGGAGGTGCAGCTCCGGCGGCAGCTCGGCCAGGCAGTCCGTGGGTGTGGCATCGTCGTCGTTAGTGCGTGCGCGAGGCGGAGACTCCATGGAAGATCACCCAGTCGGCGGCAGTCGGCTCAGAGAAAAGAATTCTTACAGGCCAAGCCTCTCTCACAGCACACTGGCACGACAAGGGCGCGGACTGGCGCGGACTGGCACACACACCGGCTCACCACCGGAGCCGCCTAAGCGACTCCATTAAGAACGGCAATGCACTCCGCACCAGAGAAAAGAATTGAAACGCCGCAAGTGCTCCAAACGGCGTGATGACCGCACTAGAAGCTGAGACCGGAGTGTATTGGCACGACCCCGGTTCGTACGCGAGCGAGCGAGCGAGAGAGAGAGAGAGAGGGGCGGCCGCAAAAATTTTGAGATAGAATTTTACAACAAAACTCCCTCGCACAACAACACTGGGCACGGGACTGGCGCGCACTGAGAGATAGAAAAGCGTCCGTCTTGCCGCAGGATAGAGCATATAGGCGGCGAACACCCACACGACATCCCACCACTCACAACAGCGAACACGTGTGAACGCGTTCACCTCCCCTAAGCACCTCCCCCCCAGTTCCGTACATGAAGTATGAAACCAAAACCACTTAAGCAGAGCCGCCGAGCCCCCCCCCCC